GTATTAGGTCTGGAAACCGTAAAAGAAGGTTGAAGACAAGGGTGTATTGGTCACTGACGTGCATTAAAGATAAAAATAATAAAATGTCCAAAAAGGAAGTGCCCTCACTCGTATTAGGCTCATACCACTAGACGAGTCCAACGAGCTTTGTAGTAAAGGCAAATCTTATATATTAAAACAGAAGTCATGACTTAACTTCATGTATGATTTTTTCAAAAAATGGACTATTACTAGAAAGTCATGTTACATTAACTCTCTAATAATATTATTATTATTATATCTTATGAAAAATCATATCTATAATAACAAATATACCGCTTAACAATTTGGTTTTGGTAAATTACCCTATCTCTTTCAACTTAGTCACGAGAAATATGTCAATAGATATAAGTCTAGGAATCTTCTATTATTTCTTAATATTTGTGAAATGATCCAAATTATTGTAAAATTGGATAGTATACATAATTAAATTATATTTATTTATTGATAAATTTTACTTCCTTCATTTCTTAATATAAGATGTTTTGGATCATTTCACAAATATTAAGAAATTTACATTCTTTTACAAAAGTATTTTAAAGATATAATTTTAAAATAATTCAACCAATTATTAAAAAAATAGTAAAATTTTAGTGGTTGAACAGTTTCCAATAAATTTAAAAGTAACCTTAAAACCTCACAATATACCTTAAAATTTTAAAACATCTTATATTTTGAAACAAAATAAATCTTTTAAAACATCATCTAATTTGAAATGGAGGAAGTATTATATAATTTCAAATATTTTCATATTAAAATACCCGCACGGTTGTGCGGGTCGAGATCTAGTTTATATTATATATACATGCTTACTGTAATTTGCAAGATAAAGGTTTTAAACTTAACTAATCAAAAATTTTTAGTTTTGAAATTTAGTATCGATGTTGTATCTTTAATGAACTCTAGATTTTGATCCGCGCTTGAAAGCGCGGAAATTTTTTATAACTAAAATTTATATAATTGGGTTATGTCTTAATTTAAAGAATGTTTTGGTATAAAATCAGTTTATCAAAATTTGTGGTGACGACTTTTTTCATTACTTTTTAGTTTCAGTTTTTGTTTGGGTTTTTAATTTTTAGATCCGCTGAGTTAGTTTGAACTGATATTACCAACAAACAAATTTTAAATAATCGAACATCTAATTTAAAACTAAAAAGATGACAAAAAATTTATAAATAAAATTGCAATAGTTTATTTTGTAAATAAACAAAAGCAAAAACTATAACAATATGTTATCCAGAACAATGCGTTTTCAGCTTTTGGTTTTGGGTTTTATTTTTTAGAATTGGTTTTTGGTTTTGCTTTACATTTTTTTTTTAAATTAGTAAATTATTTCAGAAAAATAAAATAATAAATTATTTAAAAGTTACCATTGAAATTTATCAAGAAAGTGATTGTTATTTAAAATAAAAAATACAATAACATGTTTTAAAATACATGATTTAAATAAATGATTAATAATAGACAATTTTGTTTTGTTAAAAATATTAAATACATTTTGGTCTGAAAATAATAATTGATTTTTTGATCCATTAAGATAGAAATTTATTCAATGTTTTTGGAGTTTTTCCTTAATAGTAAGCCTAAAAATCAAACCATATAATTTGTTCTAAAAACAAAAGTAAGCCCAAGACTATATCCCATAAATAACCATCAGTTTAATTTAAGTAATGCGGTTCAGTTAACTATATGGCTTGTTGTAACACTCTAGAAAGAGTCCAAATTTAAATGACAATTTGTATTAGTAGATAAAAAAGAAAGATTCTATTTTAATAGAGTAGATTTCCATTGGTTTCATATAATTATTAAATTTCCATTTTTTTAAAGGAATTGTTAAGATGCTAAATGGTATATTACGATTTCCACATTAATATAATTAGTAGATTTCCATATTCCATATTTTGATAATATATATTCTTTTAGAACATTCCATATTTGTAGGAGAAAATATGTGTTTTTGGTAGACACATCGATATCTGCCGTATTTTGAAGATACTTTTCATTAAGGTCGCCATGTTACATTAATTGTGTTGGTTTAATTTAAGTAATGCGGTTCAATCAATTATAAGACTTATATTATTTGTAATACTGTAGAAATGGTCCAAATTTAAATGACAACTTGTATCAGTAAATAAAAAGAATGTCTCTATTTTAATAGAATAGATGTATTCTATGTATAAAATATGATATTATATATATAAAAGTACAAAAAATTCCTCCCCGCATACACCCTGATTTTTTCCCGATTTTCTAATAAATCGCTAGGTCCGTATATGTCGCACGCGTAGCGCCTAGCGAGTTTCTGAACAAGACATGTTATATACTTACATTTTTCAATATTTAATTATATTTATATTATTTTATAATTAATGAATAAAATCTAAACTAACATAAGAATTACTAAACGAACATAATACAGTTAAAGTTGTTAATATAATATTAACATAATTTTGTATGTATCACTATTATTTTATGTTTAACAAAAAAGATAGTCATGCTATATGATTTAGAAAATATAAATTATATATTTACTTTAATTTACAAAATTAATGTTATAAAAGAAGTAGTAAGAATTCATGAAAATCTATACCAATGTTAAAAAGTTATGATCAAATTTGAAAATAATGTCTATATCTATTTTCACTATCCACATAACTTTTAAAATCTATCAACTCTTAAAATTTACAAATTCTGTAACATCCCGAGTTGTGATATATAGAAAGGCTTAAGAGAATTGATTTGACTATGTATGTCACCAAAGTGCACTTACCTTTTCGGGAGCACATCCACAGAGAACTCTAGAGTTAAGCGTACTTGAGTTGGAGTAGTCAAATGATGGGTGACCTATCGGAAAGTGATTTGTGATATCGTGTAAGTGAGGCTAAAACACGAGGAAAAATCGGGTGGTGATTGCAGGATCAGTAAACATGACTCTAGAGCCTTGAAAAATTAACGAATCGATCGTTAGAATGGGATAGAGACCACGGACCGAGAGAACGGACATGGGTGGCCCATTAACCATGGGCGATCCAGACGTTACAAATTCATTTCTCAGTAACCTCCCCATAATTTTAACATATCTTTTAGACAAATAACCCCCCCCCCCCCTCCTCCACCGGCGCAAAAAAATTATGATCAGTGTGTCATCAGGTAATTGTAGTTAAATGACAAATTCCCGCATCAATGTGTTTTAGTAGAGATCATGCTTTTAGTATGGAATAACTGAATCAGCATGAAAGAAAAAAAAATCTTACAAATATTAATAAGTTCTTCAAGTTTTAAGTCACTACCACACGAGACAAAATTCATATCGATCTATATAATAGATCAACACAAAAACATACATATATATATATATATATATATATATATGTCTTCATCAACACGTTTTGCAATCCCAGCTTGTATCGTTTTTGTTTGCTTTTTTGGTCTACACAAATGTAAGCATAGGCATATATATATTATCATGACAATAATATGATCACTATTGTAATCTTCATAACATTTTCGGAATGGTATAATTAGCTTTCTATCATATTTAGGTGAGAGCGTGGATGGTTTTGCGCGGAACAAGATATATATACCACCGTGCATTGGATTCCATTGCCACGGTATTAGCTTTAGACCCAGTTGTTATTGTTGTGTCGGAAAAGCGAAGTTCTGTTCATCAATCAAAGAAGAATGTTGGCATGAATGTGCCATCCTTAATCCCCGACCTTCTTCTACTAAAAGTTAACAAACTCTCACCAAGTGTGTTTCATATACATGAATTTCCTTGTAATTTTCTATTTGATTATCCTCTCTCATATTATCATATATATTATAATATACCACTCCAAAAATTTGTGACAATAAAACTGTTTACAAGCTTAAACATCGAGAGAAACTTGTCAAGAAAGACATTTTTATTACGTTAAAAAGTAAGAAACGAAGATTAAAAGAAAAAACATTGAGGGCTCATGGAAGTTTAGGGTGGCCGGAAGATTTTCCGGTGAGATTTTCCGGAGGCTTAGAGAATTTAGAAGGGTTGTGTTTAGTGAACCAAGTAGTGTACAAAAACTGCTTGTGAGGACCAACATGGTTACATATTAGCTTCAGCTTCTGTCTCTCTCGCATCCACCTTAATATTATCTTCATGTGTCGCTTGCTCGTTAACCCTCTTAATCCCACTTCCTGTTCAATTTTATTTTTATATAACAATAATAATCAGATGAAAGCTAACAATGTATTGATGTATGAAAAGAAAGTATCTTGTAATGTAAGAAAGAGTATACCTTGACACGATCCCAAGTTTCAGCAATGGTGAGAGGTCCATGTTCCTTCAAAACATCAAAGATGACTCGGGTGATCGTCTGGATTTGCTCAGGTGGTGTGTTCAGCTCGATGGGTTTCATCTTAGGTTTAGGTTTCGTTGCGAAGTGCCTTGTTAAAAACCCAACTACATTTTGATTGCTTCTGTTCCAAGGCATCACGTTCCGCAACATGTTTTCTCAGCAGCTAGAAAAAACAAGAACAATATTAACTCAAATCAGTATCACGACAGATTCATGTTTGGACAGAAGTGCAGAATCAGAAAACATGATCTTGATCAATAGAGTAAGAAACAAAATTGGGGTTATTAGGAAATCTTTCAAGTTCCGAGTCTCAGCTAGACATTTGATCGAACAGCTTAAGTGCGTAACGTTATTTGTAATGTCTACAAGCTGCAAAGAACACAAAAACAAGATAGCAGCAAAAACTCACACGATGGAAACAAGGTGGAAGCCGAAGCAGCCGAGTTTCTAGAGATTGACACCTTTTGACTCTGTAATGGTAGTACCCAAGCAAATGCCACTACTAACGAAGTAACGCAACTATACAAGTAAGAAGCATCATTTATATATATTTGCATAATAGCCCCCGATTTTAATCAAAATTTGTAACTTGTACTAAAAATTTGTAACTTTCAACAGAAACCCCCTGATCTCTGGAGTTGACATGATTGATTGATAATTTTATGGTGCAAATATTCTTGTGGGTTTACAACTTTCTCTAAAGAGCTAAAGAAACTACAGGAGATCCTCAAATCAATCAGTGTGATACAACAATACTAAACCATAAAAATGGCTTTGAAATTCAAAAGTTGAGCTTGAGTAAAAGAAGCAGTGAGTGTTTCTTCATGTAAAGTTCATCCACTTGCGATTTATCCTTAAACAAAATCAACGACGTTTGTTGTTACTGTGCCTCTTACTCTTCTTCTTTCTACTGCTTCTTCTGTCATCATCAGACTCAGAATCTGATTCTGAATCAGATGATTCATCCTCAGATGAAGAAGAAGAGGAGCTGTATTTCTTCCTCCTCCTACTTTCCTTCCTCTGCTTTGGCTTCTTCTTGCTCTTCCTCTTACTCCTTCTCCTCCTCCTCTCCTCCTCTGACTCAGACGAAGAACTGTACTCTGAACCAGATGATTCAGATCCATCACTACTCTCAAACACAGAGGCTTCACTATCACTCCCAGACTCAGACTTCGACCTGTGCTTCCTCTTAGACCTCCTCTCACCTTCTTCTTCTTTCCCATTTATCACCTCTACCTTCTCATCATCACCATCAAGATCATCAACAGAAGGCTTCATCCTCAACTTAGGATTCTTAAGCTGCTGAGTCCTCGACGGCCTGGACACATAAACCCTCTCGTTCTTACACTCATAAGTCCAATGCCCTGTCTGAAAACACTTCTGACACTGAGAAGCGCCTCCAACAACAGCAGAGGCAGACATAGACTTGTCTTTCCTTTCACCAAGCCTAACAGCTTTCTCAGTACTCATCAAATACATCTGCCTCTTGGCTTCCCTCTTCTCCTGCCATCTGCTAGGACCTTCTTCCTTTTGCCCATAAGCGTTGACGTTACGAGCAGCAGCTGTGGCTGCTCGCTCGGCTTGAGTACGGCTAAGTCCTTTGGCAGCAGTGAGTGTAGCAGCTTTGATTCTGTCGGCTGCAACCTGTGCTTTCTCTTCCTTTGCATCAGACATGATTCTTAATCCTCTGCAATCAAATTGAAACAAACACAAACGTATCAGATGGAAGTTAAAGTTTGTATCTTTTAACAAATGAATTCAGAGTTAAAATCCCCAAATCTAGTTAAACCCTAAGCAGGAGGAACCTTCAAAAACTAGGGATTCTACTTCAATGTAACTAAACTGGGTTCTGATAATCTAAAACATGATTCTTAATCATCTGCATATAATGAAACACAACAAAACGTATCAGATGGAAGCGAAAGTTCGTATCTTTAACCAATAATTTCAGTAAAAACTCACCAAACTTCGTTAAACCCTACGCAGGAGCATTCAAAAATTAGGGATTCTACTTCCATGTAACTAAACTGGGTTCTGATTATCTAAAACATGATTCTTAATCCTCTGCAATCAAAATTGAAGCACAACCAAACGTATGAGATGTGAGCGAAAGTTTGTATCTTTAACAAATGAATTAAGTAAAAAATCCCCAAATCTCGTTAAACCCTAAGCAAGGAGCCTTCAAAACTTAGGGTTTCTACTTCCATGTAACTAAACTCGGCTCTTATCATCTAAAACATGATTCTTGATCCTCTGAAACACAACTAAACGTGAGATGTAAGCTAAAGTTTGTATCTTTAACAAATGAATTAAGTACAGAAACCCAAATCTCGTTAAACCCTAACCAAGAGCCTTCAAAATTAGGGTTTCTGATAATCTAAAACATGATTATTAATACTCTGCAATCAAACTGAAACACGAACCAAACGTATCTGATGGAAACGAAAGTTTGTATCTTTAACAAATCTAATTAAACCCTAAGCAGGAGCATTCAAAAATTAGGGTTTCTAATTCCGTGTATCTATTAGGTTAATTCCAGGATCTACACAAAGCCTTACTTAGGAAAAAGAATAAAAGGAAAACTTACAATTAGAAAGGAGAGCACGAAGAGAAGAGTAGGATGGAAGCAGCTTTTGCTTGGGATTAAGCGATTCTGAGAGACGAGAGAGAGAGTAAGAAGGCGACGGCGCATCAAAGCTAACGAGAAGGAGGAGGAAGAAGAAGAAACAGACTTAAGTATTGGGCCCAAATAATTATTATTTTTAATTTAACAAACAAAAAAAAAAACAGAATACTAATTTATTTTGTTTTATTTTATAAAATTCAGGACTTTTTTACATATACTTTTTTGTCTATTTTGATAAAATGATTTTTTTAACAAAATCATTCGTAGAGGAATCCAAGTTTATTTGATTAAACAGTTAATTTTCTTAAACTGATGTATTTTGAAGTAAATGGTAAATCCATCACCTAATTAAAATAGGAAATAGTTCAGTCAAGGGCTATTTGTTTCACCACCTGTCATTTTTATCCATCCATTTATATAATTCATCCAGATAATCCGTTTAAACTTTATGAGATTGTGTTGTTTGTCTAGTTCATCTAATTGTATCATCTAAATGGATCTTATGTTTTGTATATTTATCTCAATGTCCATCCATATGAGTTTATCAAGCAAATTACTAAAATACTTAGTTTGGATTTAATCATATCTTTGATGTTAATTTTAACTATATTAACTTTTATTATTTAGTCTAAATATATGTACACTGAAAATATTTTAAAATTAGCATTTTGACATTCATAAATTATTATTTCGTATAGTTTTACAAAATTTTATTTAGAATTGTATTAAATTTTTACTACAATAATAACTGCTAATAAAAATTGATAAACATATACTTTAAAAACTTTAAAGTTTCAAACTAAAAAGAGTATTATAATAAACTGATTATAATTTTCAGATAAATATATCTAAAATTAGTTTGCATTTTTTTGTGGATAACGTGATTTTGATTTTTGACGGAAATTGTGGTTTTCTAGTTTTGGCCAGGAAAACACGATTTCAGGTTAGAGGTAGAAAAACATGATTTCTGCTTTTCACCGAGAAACCATAATATTTTGATTCAAACGGAAAACACAATTTTTTTTAATTTTGGCGGGAAAACGAGGTTGATTTTGGCGGGAAAATCAATATTATGTTAGCAGAAAATCATTTTCCCACCAAAATCAATATTATGTTTTCAAACGGAAAACGCAATTTTTTTTCTATGTTAGCAGAAAACATAATATTGATTTTGGCGGGAAAATGATTTTCTAGATTTACAGGAAAACAAGATTTTTCGATTTTGACGGGAAAATAAGATTTTCAGTTATGGTTGAAAAAATGAGATTTTTCGGTTTAGGGGGGAATGCGATTTTTTGTTTTGGCGAAAAATGAGATTTTTCAGTTTTTCGGGAAGAAGAATTTTTGATTTTGGTGGGAAAATGCGGCAGAAAAATGTATTTTGTGGTTTTGGCAGAAAAACAAAAGTTTTTCACGGAATGAAAAATGTGTTTTTGCGGTTTCGATAGGAAAATGCATTTTCCAGTTTTGTCAAGAAAGTGTATTTTTGTGATTTTGGTGGAAAAATACATTTTTGTGGTCTTGATGGGAAAGTGTGTGTTTACGATTTTGGTGGAAAATGTATTTTTGTGATTTTGGTGAAAAAAATATATTTTGTGATTTTGGCAGGAAAATGCGCCTCGTGAAAATACGTCGCGAAAAATGCATTTTAATGTTTTGGTGGAAAATGCGTGTTTGTGATTTTGTCGTTTTCGTGAGTGACAAAATGATATTAGATTAGGTTTGAAATTTCTGAATTAAATCAGAGATATAATAGACATTAGACCATTTGATGAAACCATCTCCCTTCATCCAGATGGTTTAATTTGGATTAGTCAATTGTTTTTCAAAATTAAGTCTAAATTTTGAAAACTCTTATCTAGATGACTTGTACTTTTTATAGCTAAACAAACAAAACTTTCATCTCCATTGAGATGAATCATCTGGATGGTAAAAATTATTTTGTGTTTTGAAAACATGGATTAAAATCTAGTATAGACATAAAGTTCTGATGAAAATGATGAAAAAAATGAAGTGTTTATTATATAAATTGATACGCCATGCTTCATATAAGATCGCAATCCCAAACTAACATTGACATACTGCATATATACGGTAAGAGTGTTGATATTTAATTCCTCTATGTTTTGATTGTTTTAGTTTTATTTTGAAGAACCGAAGTGTGTATTATCACAATCTCCAACATAAGAATGGGTTTTGAATGTTAACTAAAGATTGATCTATATGTTCGTGCGGATGTTAAATTTTACATTTTTATAAATTAATATTTTGTTTACATAATTAAAATAATATATTTTGTATCATTATATAATTAATTGAATATTTTTAGACCATTTACATCAAAACTGAATCTAAATCAAATCAGATAATATGATTACTTGTAGTTATTTGGTTATTTTTAATTTGGATTTAAAATACCCAAATCGAAACGGTTAATATTACTATTTTGGTACAAATATCTAGTCATATTTCGACTACATAAGTTTTTGAATATTTTAAAATTTTCATACATCAAAACTGAATCAATACAAATTTCATATTAAGACAAGAGAATAAATAAAGTGATTATAATAAATGACGTGGTCATAATAAATGAAAATATTATTAACAAACGATAATAAAAAAAATAATTATTTAGAAAAACTAATAAATAAAATGATTAGAATCAATTAATGAAATCTGTAAACACTTAATATAATAAGATTTTACTTAATAAAAAAGGAACAAAATTTTAATTATGGGCCGAAAGGTAATTTGGCCCATTCGGGCTCACGAAAAGAGCCGAACCCTAGCATATAAGGTAAGCTTCTGACTGTTCTATCCCCTCTTTGCACCTCTTTTCTCTCTTCCCTTCGTTCCCCTCTAAGGTCAGAGTCCGTTTCTTCCTTATTTTATATTCTCAATTTAATTACATGTTCCAAGTCTCTTTTTTCGATCTTTGATGTTTACTTGTACTTGATTGTTGTGACTATTACAGTTTTTTTATTGTTGTAATCTGTCTGTTCTTTTTCCTGTCGTTTCTTTTTTTTTTCTTAGACCAGATTGTTTCTTAAGATCTGGTCTAAGAAATCATTTAAAGATTTAGCTTTGACACGATCTAAACATACTTCTAGATTGTAATCTTGATATTATACAAGTAATAGTGTGAATCATGTTTTTTTGTATTGCCTAGGATATAACTGAGTTTATGAATACAAACTGTTATTACTGTATCTCTAATCGTTTTTTATTTCATTTATTTCTGTGATTGCAGAGATTTTGTAGTTGTCAAGTAAAACTTATTCAAAATGGTAAGCCTTGTTGTTTCATTATGTTTGAACTTTATTCTTGTTTTTTTTTTAAATTCTAAAGCTGAAAATTAGATTATTATTTTTATAAACTTGCAGGTGAAGTTCACAGCTGATGAGCTTCGTAGGATTATGGACTACAAACACAACATCCGTAATATGTCCGTTATTGCTCATGTCGACCATGGTACTCTCTCTTCATCCTTTTATTTTCATTTCAAAGCATTCTCTTTCAGCTTTAATTATTAACTGCAAAAATTGTATCAAATAAAATTTAAAATAATGCTTTCCTGATTTTTTTAGCTAATATTTAATTTGTATTCTCTCTTCATCCTTTTATTTTCATTTCAAAGCATTCTCTTTCAGCTTTAATTATTAACTGCAAAAATTGTATCAAATAAAATTTAAAATAATGCTTTCCTGATTTTTTTAGCTAATATTTAATTTGTATTCTCTCTTCATCCTTTATTTTCATTTCAAAGCATTCTCTTTCTGCTTTAATTATTAACTGCTCTTTGATACAATTTTATTTAATTGTATCAAATAAAATTAAAAATAATGATTTCCTGATTCTTTGAGCTATTATTTAATTTGTATTCTCTCTTCATCCTTTTATTCTCAGTTCAAAGCATTATCCTTCATATTTAGTTATTTACTGTGTTATTTGAGCTAATATCTTATATTTATTTCTTGTCTGATAGGTAAATCCACTCTCACTGACTCCTTGGTTGCTGCTGCTGGAATCATTGCACAAGAAGTTGCTGGTGATGTTCGTATGACTGATACACGTGCTGATGAAGCTGAACGTGGTATCACTATCAAGTCCACTGGTATTTCTCTCTACTATGAGATGACTGATGCTTCCTTGAAGAGTTTCACTGGTGCCAGAGATGGAAACGAGTACCTTATCAATCTCATTGACTCTCCTGGCCACGTTGACTTCTCTTCTGAGGTCACTGCTGCTCTCCGTATCACCGATGGTGCTCTTGTGGTGGTTGACTGTATCGAGGGTGTTTGTGTTCAGACCGAGACTGTGCTGCGTCAGGCTCTTGGTGAGAGGATTAGGCCTGTTTTGACTGTGAACAAGATGGACAGGTGTTTCCTTGAGCTTCAGGTTGATGGTGAGGAGGCTTACCAGACTTTCCAGAGGGTTATTGAGAATGCTAATGTCATCATGGCTACGTATGAGGATCCTCTTCTTGGTGATGTTCAGGTTTACCCTGAGAAAGGTACTGTGGCTTTCTCTGCTGGTCTCCATGGATGGGCTTTCACACTTACAAACTTTGCTAAGATGTATGCTTCCAAGTTTGGTGTTGATGAGACTAAAATGATGGAGAGGCTTTGGGGTGAGAACTTCTTTGACCCTGCCACGAGGAAATGGAGCAGCAAGAACACTGGTTCCGCCACTTGCAAACGTGGGTTTGTCCAGTTCTGTTACGAGCCCATCAAGCAAATCATTGCCACTTGCATGAACGACCAGAAGGATAAGTTGTGGCCTATGTTGCAGAAGCTTGGTGTTCAGATGAAGTCTGATGAGAAGGAGCTCGTGGGTAAGCCTTTGATGAAGCGTGTCATGCAGACATGGCTCCCTGCAAGTACTGCACTACTTGAGATGATGATCTTTCACCTTCCTTCTCCCCACACTGCACAGAGGTATCGTGTTGAGAATTTGTATGAAGGTCCCCTTGATGATCAGTATGCAACTGCTATCAGAAACTGTGATCCTAACGGTCCTCTCATGCTCTACGTTTCTAAGATGATTCCCGCCTCGGACAAGGGTAGATTCTTTGCCTTTGGTCGTGTCTTTTCTGGTAAGGTGTCTACTGGTATGAAGGTGAGGATTATGGGTCCTAACTTTGTTCCTGGTGAGAAGAAAGACCTGTACGTCAAGAGTGTCCAGAGAACTGTCATCTGGATGGGTAAGAGGCAAGAGACGGTAGAAGATGTTCCCTGTGGTAACACTGTTGCTATGGTTGGTCTTGATCAGTTCATCACCAAGAATGCTACACTAACCAATGAGAAAGAAGTTGATGCACATCCTATCCGTGCAATGAAGTTTTCCGTGTCCCCTGTTGTACGTGTTGCTGTTCAGTGCAAGGTGGCCTCTGACCTTCCAAAACTTGTTGAAGGACTCAAGAGGCTGGCCAAGTCAGACCCTATGGTTTTGTGCACACAGGAAGAGTCTGGTGAGCACATCGTTGCTGGTGCTGGAGAGCTCCATCTCGAGATTTGTCTCAAGGATCTTCAGGATGATTTCATGGGTGGTGCTGAGATTGTTAAGTCAGACCCTGTTGTCTCCTTCCGTGAGACTGTCCTTGAGAGATCCGTCCGTACTGTGATGAGCAAGTCTCCTAACAAGCACAACCGTCTCTACATGGAGGCCAGACCCTTGGAGGACGGTCTAGCAGAGGCGATTGATGAAGGCCGTATTGGTCCAAGAGATGACCCTAAGATCAGATCCAAGATCTTGGCAGAGGAGTTTGGTTGGGACAAGGATCTTGCAAAGAAGATATGGGCCTTTGGACCTGAAACCACAGGGCCTAACATGGTTGTTGACATGTGTAAGGGAGTTCAGTACTTGAATGAAATCAAGGATTCAGTTGTTGCTGGGTTCCAGTGGGCGTCTAAAGAAGGTCCTCTGTGTGATGAGAACATGAGAGGAATCTGCTTTGAGGTTTGTGATGTGGTTCTCCACTCTGATGCTATCCACAGAGGAGGTGGTCAGGTTATCCCAACAGCGAGGAGGGTTATCTACGCCGCACAGATCACTGCCAAGCCGAGATTGTTGGAGCCGGTTTACATGGTGGAGATCCAAGCACCAGAGGGAGCTCTTGGAGGAATCTACAGTGTGCTGAATCAGAAGCGTGGACACGTGTTTGAAGAGATGCAGAGGCCAGGAACACCGTTGTACAACATCAAGGCGTACTTGCCTGTTGTGGAGTCATTTGGATTCTCGAGTCAGCTTAGGGCAGCAACTTCAGGACAGGCCTTCCCTCAGTGTGTGTTTGATCATTGGGAGATGATGTCGTCTGATCCTCTTGAGGCAGGGTCGCAAGCTTCAACTTTGGTTGCTGACATCAGGAGGAGGAAGGGTATGAAGGAGCAGATGACTCCATTGTCTGACTTTGAAGACAAGCTATAAGCAGCAGCAGCTCTCCTCTTTTATCTCACTTGATACTCTTGGTTACTTTTGACCTCTCTTTGCTGTATTTGGTCTTTGTTTTAATATTTTTGTTTTGATGACTTTATATCTCGCCATCCTCTCAATGTTTTACCTTTAGTTGAGAACTGTTTAATTTTTATCTATGTGTTCGCATATATTTTATTTTACTCTTGCACTCTTTTCTTCTGTTTTGTATTAGATTATTTACATTCATATCTGCTATCTGGATGCTTGAAATGGTTGTATCCATGCCAAACCCTTTAGTTGATGCTTACAGGGGGGAATATAGATGTCTTAGGTTATTGTTATGTTTCAAAGATTGTGTGCTTTTATTATTGGAAACGTTGAACACGATAAACAGTGAGATTGAAGAATACGCGTCCCTTAGTAGATTGTGCCTTCAATGTGGTTGTAACAAGTAGAAAAGAATAGATCCATATGCTCTCCATCCACATGATTCACCATTATGGTGAAACAAACAGTCCCATATGAAGCAAAGCTACAAGAAAACAAAAAACATCATTTTGATTATAGATTTGCGTTTTTACAGAAAATGCAATTCCTAGACTTACTCATATTCACAGAGCATCGAATTGTCTTACAAAATTCAACATATAATCTGTTGTGGGCTATATACAGTCTCTTTCATACTTCCCTTCCTCCTCACCTAATCTATTTCTGCTTTATATAAAGTCCTCAGCTACAAAATCCTATTGTTGTCGAGAATGTTAACTATTTACATTTCTCGTGATGATTCTCCTCCTAGGTTTCCATTATTCGATGTCCTTTTCTTCATCTAAACTACTGTTTTTGCCGTCACTGCTTCTGGAGTTGTCAGGTTCCTTAGCTTCCCCGCCACCTTGCGCTCCTGAGTTCTTGTTTCCTTCACAGAGCTTCAGTTTTTTCGTACACTGCTCTTGCTCATCTACTCCAAAACGGCATCTCTTCTCCCCTCCCTTCACGGAATCTTCTGTCTGTTTCTGTTGAGGAGTTTTATCGTCTCCATCCTCACAATCAACGAACCGTCCAGACCTATGATTAATAAGAAAGCAGCAAGCAGATCCGTTAACCAACCCTCTACTTGTTGCCTGTGACACACCTTCTGCGAATTTCTTTCTATCAAGAGAGGGTAAAGAGTAAAAACAAATACCTTGCAGCTTCTCCATTGGAATTATAGGTATTAGCTTCTTCTTTCTGTGTACTAGAAGCAGAAGCTGACTTCCCATCATCGCTGTCAATAAAACGTATTGAGAAAAGGTCAAGAGAAAAGGAAAAGTAAGAACCCATCAATGTTTTGAACACTCTATGCACCTGTTTCCTCTCATATCAACTGGATCAGTGGTGCTCTTTGGTCCCCAACTTTTTATGCACTGAAGACACATTACATTGTTAAAACAAAGAATACTGTATGTAGGAAAATTTTCCAATGTAGAAGTTAGATCGAAGAGTGATACCGGCTCATTTTTTAAAGCATGGATGGAGGTCTGGTGTTCAAATGGAGCCAGCTGGTCCCAAAATGTATCAACTACGTATTTGAGCAGCACATTTGCATTTGCCTGCACACAAAAAAAAAACTGTGATATGTACGGAGGAACACCCGTAAGAAACAAATGGAAAAGAGGATGAAAAAAAAAAATAGAAACCTTGCGTATGTGCTCAAGAAGCTCCAAGATAGAAGAAATCAGCAAATCGTCATGATTACCACCGGCAACAAAAACATCTATGATCGGTTTCAGCAAGTTGTTCTTAACAACGTAACTCTGGACATTATCATCCTGAAAGTAGAATAATATTTATTAGAACTTGCATAGCACTTATAGTCATCCTCGAAGCTTTTGTAGCATGTGACGCTGAACTACAACATACCAAAGTAATTTAATGTAATGACTTCACTACATGTTTACAGGAACCAAATTTTTAATACAAAGAAAAACATCTGAACTTCAAAATTTCAACTAATTTAGATAACCAACTTTCATCTTGTCAGATTCATTCTCATATGAGTATAATAAAAAAATGCTGAGCGAAGACTACTTACAAGGACAGAGAGGAGAGTGCGAAAAAATCGAACAGCCGCAGCGACTATGTGTTTCTCCTTTCTTCGAGTGAGAAACAAAACCTTTTCTGTCACATTTTGAAGGAGAAAACTGCACGTCGCAGACAAGAAAAGAAAATGCACAAGAATATTAGATAGCTACTATAGTGTAAGGTAAAACAGTAAAAATGATAATCATGATAAAAGGTTACATTGTCTTTGAAGGATTCTGCTGAACGCAAAAGCACAGCAATTCACAAATGTTCAATAGGCTGCCAACTCTTCTGAATGCACTTTCAGATGTATCGCCAGGCCTTTCAGAACACGAGGCAGTTATGAAATCAACTAACTCAGGTACATGATTCTCACAGAAAATATCCATAATTTTCGTTCCCTGCAAACAATGATAAGAAGTTACCAAAGAATTCTGTTTAATAAAAAGCAAGTTGTCTTGTACTACCAAGAGACCAAGAAGGTAAAGAAAGAAAAATAAAGTATGCACCTGAGCTCCACCAGAAAATGCATTTGAAGCCAATAAAGCTCGAAAAATTTCTAGCATCGTATCACCAAAATCTTCCATCAGTCCCTTAACCTATCACAGATAATGAGAACCAATTTCATAACAGGGAACAGCCTCGCACCCAGAACGAAAAACAATCCAAAACAGAACAAGACTTTAAGAAAAATTACCAAGAGACCAAGAAGGGGAGTTTTCGGTTTAACAAGATAGGAGCGTAAGAGGTCGAGATCTGGAGTCAAGATGAGGATGTCTACCCTGCATTCATTATACTATTCAATATAACTGGAAATAATATACTGGTTTTTCCTCAAAAACCCATCAGATGATACCGTCGTACCGAGGGGATAAGACAATGATAACTAAAGAATGAAGACCAATCTATCATGTATAATTAAATAAAGGTGATAATATACCCGGTTAATACGAGTTGCTTTTCTGGAATCTGCAAGACTTCTGCTATGGTGTCAAAAATTCCTTCATTGATAAGTTCCCTACAAGATAATAAAGTAGACACAAATCTGATGACTCTCAAAAGCACTGAGGTTATAATTCCTTCATTGATGCTATCCACATGATCAGTTTCAGCAGACTAATTATTAGTACCCATAGATTTCGTTTTCGAAAATTACGTACGTAAAGAGGCGTAGCTGCAGCTCCATTTCAAGGCTCTTGCTTAGACTACAAAACTCGTGCAAGAAATGTACCTATATTTGGAGAGAGAGAAAAAACACATCAACTACTATGAGCCGACCTATACCTAACTCACGCAAGATCATCTACTATCAGGCTAGACAGGAATTGCTCTAGTTTATCGACAATACATCAACGAATTTCCTATTAATGGCTGAAAGGCGTAGAGACACAGCGATTTTGAAATCTCTATCGACGAATCTTACTGACAGGGGCCTATTTAAGGATTGGAACTAGCACAACCTTTTTCATACAGTAATCCATGAAGTAAAAAATTAACGCCTCACGATTCCAGGACATACCAAGTCAATCTTGGATTCAACAGATGTGGAAGGTGACCGTAACTTTGCAAATAACTCTTGAAAGAAGGTGTTGTCATCTTTCAGCGATGTAACAATCTGAAAATAATGGGTACATGCATATTGCATTTCTGATTGATTATATTATATACATTCTGATACATACTATAAATTTGAGGATGTTTATTTCGATGACTTACAGTAGCTTTGTTTGCTTTGATTATGGAACTTAGGCTTTCAGCTGTATCATCATCATCATCTACTACTCTAGTCAAAATAACATCCTGTAAGAAATGAGAGAAGTGAGAATTTTTCTGAAGAACAAAATGTTTTCAGAAGAGTTCATGAGACTGAACCTTCAGATAACCAATTCTGTATGTTTGGTGTATCTTCGACAAGACCATGGGATTCTTAATTGGTATAGCCTGCCAACAATGATGAGGTTAATAACGATGTTTGTCAACTCTCAAACTTATCCAAATAATTTACAAGGTTAAGGTCAAGAATAACACACGAGAATATTGTATTACCTCCTTAAAAACAACATGCTCTCTCAGATCCTTCCGGTAATGTAGAGGCTGCGGAACATCGGGATCATCTGTGAGGAGAAACAAATTACGACATCTAATATGTTTTTTAAATTCTACGCAATAGATGCTCAACAGCTACATATTATTGGTGTCCTTCGTAGTCACTGAAAATTAAGATCATTAACGTTCGACCACAGGCATTAAGCTTACACTCAAGGCACCCAATAGTTTTCATGATTAGGTTATCCCCTAAGATTTTTTCCAGGATCTCATCACTGTCGAAAGAAACTGCATAAGAATAAAAAAAAAAGCTTGTCACATAGGAGTTAGTAATTCGAGTGAGAAATAAATGATGTTGAGATGTATGTGAATACTAACTGATGCATTTGACAATTTTGAATATCATGTGAAGGCAATCAATTTTTTCCAAATCCTCACACATATCAAATACGTTCATCAAATTGTCAAAGAAATTAACCTGCATCGATTATCAGGAAAGAAAGCAGGTTAAGCAAAATCTCTTGCCCAAAAAAGTAGAGCTTTGGAAGACACAAATACTTACATCTTTCAACATCTGATCGGATAGCCCCATCTCATCTTCAACGTCACATTCAGTAACAATCTGCAGGGAAGACGGAAACAAATATTTGAAATTATCGAACACGGTAGGGGCCTAGAATGTCAATTTAGGCACAGCTTAACAAAAGAAAACTTCACAGATAGAGAACACATAGTTTCACACACACTGACGGCATGGTTAAAGAAGATAACATACAATTGTAGGTCTGGGAGATGCAGATAATTACAAGAAATTTTTTAAAAATCAGTAGGCATTCGAAGGTAATCAAGCGAAAAATAAAAAAATAGAGTCTCAACCCTTACAATAGATCGTACAATTTGTAGGTCGTCTTGTTGCGGTTATCAAAACCAATGAGAAAGGTAAAGAAGAGCAAAGCATCTAAACTGACCACAATACAAACAAAGCACAAGATGAGTACTATCTTAGAACCTCGAGTATTTTGGGAAGATTAGAAATGTCGACATCAGGAAGCTCCCTCGGCTCACTGTTCACTGTTCAAGCAAAGATGATATTATTGTCAAATACAAAATCCGTGACAAATGCATAAAAACATACATGAAGGAAATATGCCAAGAAAACGATCAGATGGCAAATGAGAAATTTTGCATCACATCTGATAACTCAGACTTATGACCGAATAGATAAGACATAATAAGAAAATGATAATGCATGAGCTATACAAATAAGAAGAAAATCAGACTAGCAACAAATGCTATATAAACGGAAAGGAAAAAAACTCTTACATTTTAGAGAACTGAAATGTAGATTCCGTTGCGTAGTGTATATATGATTCCTGAATAGCATAAGGATCTTTAAAACGGAAGCCCATCGAAAAGAAGACAATAGAAAATGTTCTTGTCACTTACCATACATGAGAGCATCCCGCAGTCTCTTGAAAGCTCAAAACCAACTCTGTTGAGCCCTCTGGTTCTCTCCATGATATAATACTGTCTGTACATTGATACATATATCACTCATCCAAACAGAGATAAAAACCACAATAAAGCATATGGCTACCTTCTTGCTTCTTGTAGATATCCTCAGTGCTGATCCGGTGTACAAGCAATGTCTCATTATCAATTTCGTCAATCACATATAGACCAAGCTCTTCAGATCGCTGCAGTGTATATCGTTTCCATTAAGCCACAAGTGTTTACCATCCCTGAGAGAAGGGGAGATATAGAAGAAACCTCCACATAGTCCAAACTGATGAATCCAGTTCCTCGATCATCCCATTTTCCATCTCCTTCCAAACAATAAACCTTCACTCTCTGAACAATAGCAACAGGTATGAGATTGATACTGTTCCAACTTCCTCTGAATGCACATTTGCTATAAGTTTTAGTCTATAGTACAAAAATCCAGTGAATATCATCTTCAAGATCTCTCAGAAAACCACAGTTCAATAGTAGATTTGATTCGCAATTTCTTCATAACTACCACACAATCGCAATTTCTTCATAACTACCACACAATTTGCTATAAGTATTAGATTCTCAGAAATTGCGAATCAAATCTACAGAACGCAAATCCAGTGAATATCATCTATGAGATCCTCAGAAAACCACAGTTCAATAGTAGATTCGATTCGCAATTTCGTCATAACTACCACACAACTAACAACACAATCGCAATCGCTGCGTGACTACGACATAGCTAAGAATCGGAGAACCAAGAAAAGCCAATACGTAATAGCTAATCGCGAATCTACGAGCGCACACACTCGATTCGAAACGAAAGGAAAGAAGATGAGCAAAGTAACAAAGGAAGAGAGCAATACCTGCGCCGAAGTAGTGTTGGATTGCGCGTTTCCCGGGGCGGCCGTGGCCATCTTTCCCCCGCCGTAGATCGCGAATCGAGCCGGTGAAGTCGGAACGGTGGCGAAAATTAGGGTTCTTGGAGTATAAGAGGGAGAAGAACGACGCGGGAGATTCAGTTTGTTGACGAGACGAAACGTTGTAACTGCCTGTTTGACGAAACGTTGACCAAAGAAAACGCTTCTTCTCTCTATGTAGTTTCTCTCTCCTAGATCAAAATTAAGTTGAATAATTTCTATACACATTACATAACAGGCCTATTCTAGGTATATAGGCTTTTGTAATGGAGCCCGTTTACTAAAAATAAGCCCATTAGTTTTTTCAACAATCAATTGACTCGACTCGACTCTATAAAGTCAAAAGATTTGACTCCATTAGAGCAGCCACATTGGGGGTTCACCCCCTTCCCAAGAAAAAAAAATAATATAAAATTCTTATTTCTGTGAATCTGTATCATTATGGTTCAGTGGGATGAACCTGGTTCATCACTATTTCACGGACCCACGCCACGTGGCGGCCCGTTATAGGTCACTTTAATTTTTTTTTTTTTTTAAAAGTCAAACGGAAAAATAAAATAAAATAAAAAATAAAAAATTCAGTTGTGAACCCCAACCATGGGGTTCACTAATGCTGATGCTCTTAGTGTTTTTAACTATCAATTGACTCGACTAGGATATTAAATTTTATATTTTTATATATAATACTCCCTCTGTTTCATATTAAGTGTAGAGAATTTTTTACGTTACAAAATAAGTGTTGTTTTCAGTTTTCAATACAAAATTTATTAAGTTTATTATGTAATTAGTTTTTCTATTGGTTAAAATATGGTTAGGTGTATAGATAACTGTGTTTTTATATTCTGTTTAAATCTTCAATTAATCAGCATAAATTATTTGTTAACATATGAGTAAACCCTTCAAGAATAACTGAATAAATCCTCTTGATGATTTAATTCTCTTTTTCTTTTAGTTTCTTTTTTACTTAATTTGTATTGTTTTGAATTGTTCTTGCTAACTTATAAATATCATATATATAGATTATGACGTATCGTGTAAAAAGAGGACACCATCAAATAATTTAGGATCGGATTTGTTTGAAAGCAATGACCATGCAACCGATGTTTACCCAAACGACAAATCATTTTGATGTTCTTATGGATTGGATCAAAGTTTAAGATTTGTAATCAGATTAGGCTTACCTCGGGCCCAGCCTTAGCATTATCTCTTTTGTCTTTCAATTCTTTATTTCCTAAGAATTGTATTAAACTATAATCTTCAGCAGCTTCCTAATATCGAAATCGAAGTGTGAGGTGGGCATACCTTCTACAGATAAATCATAAATGCCAACACCGATCAGTATTATTGTTTTTGTAAACTCTAACTTAGTATATGATCTCAAAGTTTTTAGAAAAACTACAATTTTGATACATATGAAAGATAAATATATAGATAATATATGCTTAAATGCGATGAGTTGTGTGGATAGAGTGTAACACAATCCGAAAAAAGGAATGAGTAGTTAAGATAGAGACATAGAACTGTGTAATATCATTGGAAGGTTGGAAACAAGAAGACGCATTCTTGCATCAAAGTCACGTTACGTTGCCAATTTAATCAACACATTAATTATATACAATAATATATGCGAGGATGTAGATATGAAGAGATGTGCATGCATATACGAGTATGTGAACAGGGGAATGCATAGAAACAGATATTGTTAGTTGGCAGTGGCTCCAAGCAAACCACAAACCTTTTTTATCCTGAAACTATCTTTTTCTTTTTCTGTTATTTTGTGATTCTCATATATATTATCATAAATTTATTTCAACTTGTATAAGTTTGTCTATATATATTTCTCATTGATCATTAATGCTATTGTTTGTGTATGGATAAAGATGAGTTGTATATCCGCTAAATCTAGTCATCTATATTGTTCGTTGCATATCATGTAACATGCATCAATCAATAATTCGTATTAGCTGCGGTTTTAAACCGAATCGATCAAGCTGAACCAAACCAAAATATTTGGTTCGGTTATGGTCTTGATTTTGGTTTGGTTTTGAATGATTTTTAAAATTAATTCGATTTTTGGTTCAGTTTATTTTGGTTTTTGATATTTTTTTAAAAAAATACGGAAAACCGAAAATATTCAAAAATACCTGAAAATAACCAGAAACTCGAATCGAATTATCCGAATTTAACCAAATATAATGGAATTTAACCAAAAATATCTGATTTTTTCTAAAATTATACTAAAATCTACCTGAAATAAAAAATTGATTAATTCGGAAATTAAAGTTAAAACCAAACCAAACCGAACAGATTTTATTATTGGCTTACTTCGGTAAAATTGTGGTTGAGCCGAATAAACCGAAATCGAAACCGAAAATACCCAAACTGAATAAACCAAATTATCCTGATTCGTATTGAGTTTCGAACTATTAACTTCTATATGTAAGTATGTAACCACCGAATGAATTATTGGATTTGAAAGAGATTAGTCTCCTCAAACATATTTTTATATATGGCGGCCATATACTGTATGTATTGGATGGTCCGATCTATTCAAAATGGTTTTTTACTCGTTAGTTAAGTTTCCTAATCTTTTTATTGGTATATATTTTGGCCAGTCTGAAACGTAAGATATGAACGAGAGTCATTTAAGATGAGCAAGATACGAATCCGTCTTGGGACTATTTTCTGAAAGAATATGATTTGTTTGGGTGGATTAGCACGAATTGACGTGGATTGCTATGCTGACATGGCAAATAAATGTTTTAAATCAATTAACAGAGAAGGAAGTTAACGGAAACGGACCCATCGAATCATATGAATTCTTTTTTATTTATTTTTACTAGTTTTTATAGTATTCAAAACATTATAATATAATTCATAAAAGTAAAACGGCCACTCACATCACCCAGTAACCAATTTAGATATATACACACATTGACATACATATATATGATTAGAACCGTATTGTTGGTTCTTTTGGTAAATATACGACGTATGCGGCACACATTTTATCTGCTAGAAAATAATCAAACACTTTTTCCTCAAAAAACACTTATTTATATTCTTTTGTTGTTAGTTTGTTCAAAAAATATATTCTTTTGTTGAAGATAATCGTGATGGTGTTTTGATTTTAGATATCTACAGACGACTGCGTAATTCACCTTTTAGAATATACAGAGCTTTATTTACATGTATTAATTGCTAAGATAATAATAAAACACTTTCCTTAAAAACAACACTTATTTATATCCTTTTGTTGAAGATAATTGTGACAATGTTTCGATTTCAGATTACTGTAGGACTGGAAAAAATTTTGATTTGATGTGTTATCCTATTTGATTCGAACTAAAAAAAACAAATATATGTAACTCTACGAACCAAATAAAATATTAAAATAAAATATCCGTAAGAAACAACGTAAATCACAAATATTAATATTTTTAAGAATGGACATCTGATCCGATCCTTCATATACATAGATCTAAAGAAGAATATATAAAAGTTATATAAATATTGTATATTCTATAACTTTTACAAGATTTTTATTTATTAAATTTATTATATTAGTTAGTAGAATTTGAAAAATTAAATAAAATATTTATTTTGGTTATAAAATATCATTATTTTATATAATTTTGGATTTTTATTTATTTTAAAGTTTTATTTTATTTTTACGGGTCAAATCGAATATCTGGTAGAAAATCTAAATTTTTCAGATATTCGGAACAAAGAATATCTAGATGGTCAAGGATCGAAACGAATCGGAGAATTGATTATTAGACGAAACAAATAACTAATACCTTCAGATACCCGGATATTCGATCAGTACATGCGTAATCCACCTTTCAGAATAGATAAATTGACCTTTATTTACTTTCTGATTTACATGTATTAATTGCTAAATCATGGGTTACCTTTTTTGTTCTGTTGAGAGAGAGCTTAATCATCTATTGTCGTGAGGTGTGATTTGATATATCGCCGTCCAATAGTTTTATCACCTACCGGTGCATTTTCTTTATATACTTTATAGTTTTTTATTCATTTCTCCATCATTTCATGTTTATGCGTTTTGTTAACTAGAAACTTTGGTACGTCGTTAAAATATAATTTCATTGGAATTTATAATCCACAATCAAGTTCTAATCAGTGTTTGTGCATTTTGTTTTCAAAAAAAAAAAAAAGTATTTATACCTGTAGTTTCTCCATGCAGAAAGAAGCCAAACTCCTGATTTGTAAATTGTTCATTTAGACAAAAAGTATTAACTGCTACTTCTGGAAGAAAATAAAATAACCAAAGTAAAATGAAGCTTGAAGACTCACGAGAGAGTGTTTTTTGTTGGCCATCACGTGTGTGTGAAGCTTTTTTGGTTGCTCAGACCACTTGTGAACCCTATACACAGTTAAAATCATTCCACCAATCCCATTTCAGATTCCTTTTTCAGTATTTATTTTCAGAAGTTGTTAAACCTTAAAACATAAGTCATTTGTATTTAACCAAGTTTTTTTTTGCCGTAGCACGTAAACCAACGTGTGCGGTACGTTGTTTTGACTCATTAGGTAAAATATAACGAATATTTTGGGGGTGAAATAGTTCAAAGCAAAAAAATAGTATACAAATACGGTAAGTACATCTATACTATTAAAGCTGAAGTACAAAAATGAAGTGTTTGAAAACATGAATAAGAAAATTTTAAAAATTTGATTGGAAACATGGATAACATATAAATTTAATGGACTTATTTATTAAATTAAAGATTACTGCGGCCCAAAATATCATTATTATTGTTTTTGGATTTTCTATCATTGATATTACTTTATTTCTGAAAATTATTTATACATATATGTATTCATGTTTTAAATTTATTTAAAATAAATCAAGAATAATATTTATTTTATTTATATAATTTATATTGACTATTGTTATAAGTTTTTAACAGTGATATACTAGCTTTCCAATTCTTCATTAAAAAATTAACTTCAAAAATTTAACTAAATTATTTAGTGTATATAATTTTACACCAAATTTAACCCAAATTTTTTTTTATAAACTATTACTAAAATGTTTACGGGTCACAACATTTTACCGACGCCCCTGTTACACAATACAGTGATGAAATATGATGTTTAAACAATATACTATTACTTAGTAAAATTGGAAGCATTAAATTGTAATTTTTAAAATGTTTATATATACCATAGAAACAAATACCCGCCCAGTTGGGCGGGTTATGATCTAGTTAATATATTAAAGGAGAAGTACAATACTCTCCATTACTTTATCAAAAAAAATTCTCCATTTCGTATATCTTATGTCTATGTTCATAAAGAAACTATATATCATATGTTAATATCATTTCCTATCTTCTTTAAACTATATATCATATATTCATAAATTAATACTACAATGATTAAGACGTAACGTTAAAACAAATATTGGGTAACTTATATATAGGAAAACAACATATTAGCCTGTCTACACTAAACCTGTTTAAATATGCAAAAAAAAAAAACAAAAATCATCAAACGAGCAACTCTATACAGAAATATTGATGCAATTCGAATTACAACTTGGTACACATTGATTAAAATTTGATTATAAATCATTTTAAATACATGTTTAAAATAATATGAATTGACTATTAGATGGGTCAATTTTTATTATTTAATTGACCAGTGTCTAAAATGTTCAACTTCAAAGGGAAGTTGAAGTAAAGAAACCAATAAGGCAATAATCAATAACAATCCGGAAAGAGAAGTGTGGGCAACATGACTAGATGCTGAATGACTTTTATTTGGTGGAGAGTCGGCACCCGTGACAACCTTCTCTGTCTGTCTCTCAGCTTCTTCTTTTTTTAGGTTTTACGTTTCATTTTCATTTTATTTTTATACATATAACTAAATGTGTATACGTTTCTATATGCATTGTTATGATATTTTTCTTTCTAGTTAAATATGGTCATCGTTTCGTGTGACCATGACATTGTTGGTGTGGCTTTTGTTCCCATGCCTATGCAACAAATCGTATGTATATAATATTACCTGCTACTACCAACCTTAACTTTTCCACTGGAGTGGAACAATTCTTTTCATAAATTTTATCAAACTAATTCATTAACAAACCACTGATAGTGAATCCCAAGAGAGTTCGGAATGTAACTTGGCCAAATGAGCTACCGATAATATATAGCTGTTTATAAAATGTTACATGTTAAACAATTAGTACTTTTATATAGATACTAAAATATCCAGCTGAGGTGATAAAGAAACTCCAGCTCGAGTTTTCGTTATGGGTTCGAATAGCATTCACCACTCATGGACACTCTAAATAGCGTCAATAATATACACAGTTTTGTATGCGTATAGTCCGATCAATAATATACATAGTTTTAGTTACTTTTTTGTCAACAGTTTTAGTTTATTTGGTAGAAAATGGCTGATAAATAAGAGTACTAAATTTAAAGTCACTTGTAACTTCTAAGCTTTTAATGGTATGGTAATTATTGGAGGATGTTTATCCTTCCAAATTAAATTAAACCACATGACTATGACAATATTCTTCTATTAAAACGTAAATATTACTAACATAAAAATCATAGTCTAAATGGTGCCCTTACTACATATTCTTCCACTAATAACCGTAATAAAATCACTAGATATTGGTACAAATTAATGTGAGATATTTATAAAATTATCTATTAGTATTTTTTTTTTTTTGGTGAACTATCTATTAGCATTTTGGTAGTAAATAAACGTACATATGTCGTAAATTTGACAAAATGTGAAAATATTATGATTACCACCTACCATTGCCTTAGCGATTATATTGCTATATTGGCTGTAGCAGTAGCAGTAGCGAATTGCTTGTCTGTGGTGGCAGACGGATCCAAGAGCATGCATGGAGATGACCGTACATAATACAGTGGATGTTGAGATAGAAGATTAAAACAGATTAGGAAAAGAACAACGAAAAAAAATTAAAACCTTCATGTTATATAGTCAAAAGTTCATTTATATAATTTTATATTTTCTTTTTAAATAAATAAAAGTAAAATTCAAATAAATAATCAATTAATTTTTGGTATTTGTGTATATGAACTTCAGCCATAGATTTTTTTTTCCAATCGAGCATGTTCTTCTGACTACCAATGTGATATCTTTACGCTAGGACGAAATTATAGTGAGATATTATGGCTTATGAAATTAAAATTCTATCATTCAAAAAAAAAAAAATATATATGTGGTGACGGAGAAAACGTAGAAATTATGTATAAGACATGAAAAAGCTAATTGACACTTTAAAAAAGGACAACAAACTATTAAATATTTGTTTTTAAATGATTTTACCAATAAGAAATGAGAAGTCTGAGATATATATCTCTTTTCCGTAACCTGACCAACTTGATTGTTTTATTTTATCTTTATCTTATTCTTGTTACAAGAGTTGCTCATCCCTTTGTCACCAATTTCGCCAAAGAAACTTCTCTATAAATACCCCATTCACTTTCTTTCACATGAAAACTAAAACACACAAACATCACAAGTTATACATATAAATACACACACACACACAACACAGATATATATAAGATGTCTTGTAATAATAATTCATTATTAAGCGGCAACAAAGTCGTAGTAATACTTGTATTCATCTTATGTTTGGTTCACTCATCAGAGTCACTTCGGCCATTGTTTGCATGCGACCCAGCAAATGGGTTAACCCGAACACTCCGGTTCTGTCGCGTCAATGTACCGGTCCACAAGAGGGTTCAAGACTTGATCGGACGGCTCACGTTGCAGGAGAAGATCCGCCTCCTTGTCAACAATGCCGCCGCTGTGCCACGCCTAGGTATTGGAGGCTATGAGTGGTGGTCCGAGGCTCTCCACGGTGTTTCTGACGTTGGTCCCGGTGCTAAGTTTGGTGGTGCTTTTCCCGGTGCCACCAGCTTCCCTCAGGTCATCACCACCGCAGCTTCTTTCAACCAGTCTCTATGGGAAGAGATCGGACGGGTGAGTATAAATTTGATATATAATTTTAAATAAACATTATACATTTTTTTTTTAAAATGAGAATTATAGTTTTTGAAAAAACGTTGAGGGTTCTAAATTTTGTGTATTTCTTTACGTAAAAAACGACATCGACATCAACATCGTAGCGGTCAGTGCAGTAGAGTTTGATTTAGCGGATATGTTTATATATTTATTTATTTCTTTGAATTTTATAATTCACATGTTTGTTATCTGACTACGACATGAGTCTATCGAATAAGTGTAACGTTAGAAAAAAAACATGAACCAATAAAAATATGTAGTTCTTGTATTAATAAAAACGATGATAACCAGCGAATTATAAATCTTTTGTTTATCGTTTCTTTCTTTCAGTATATTAGTAAACAAAGGTGTATATATGGAGAAATATATTAATTAGATGATAACCAGCGAATTATAAAACTTTTGTCTATCGTTTATTCCTTTCGGTATATTAATAAAAAAAGGTGAATGGAGGAAAATATTAATTAGAATTGTCATGATTTTAAAATAAATAAAAGGTGGTGTCCGATGAGGCAAGAGCTATGTACAATGGAGGCGTGGCCGGCTTGACGTATTGGAGCCCAAATGTGAATATACTGAGGGACCCACGGTGGGGTCGAGGCCAGGAAACTCCCGGAGAAGATCCTGTTGTCGCCGGAAAATACGCCGCCAGCTACGTCAGAGGACTTCAGGGAAACGGCGCCGGTAACCGCCTCAAAGTCGCCGCATGTTGCAAACATTACACTGCTTATGATCTTGATAACTGGAATGGCGTCGACCGTTTTCATTTCAACGCCAAGGTATAAAAATCTTATACACATTCATATATATATATTATATATTTACGTGTGTATATGAAGTTTTTGTTTATTTTAAATTTTACTTTTTTCAACTGCATGTTTATTTTAAATATATATTATCAAATAAAAAATGTAAAAAACTTTAAAGAACACATATATAATTGCGTAGATGTTATAAATGTTTAACTTTTCTATTGGTCGAAGAATGCCAATTACTTCTTAAATATAATTATTATAAATTTAAAATTTTGTGGGAATAGAAGAGAACCCGTGAGTTTCTGTTTTTTGTTACATCTTAAAAGAATTTTAATTTAATATTTTTTCATATTTCTGTGATGTTTTCAGAAAATGAATAATGAGAACAAAATATTGGATTTTCTTGATGAAACATGTAAATTTACGTTCTAAAATTAGAAAGCTCTATTTATATCGTTTTCTGTTATTTAAAGCTCCAAGTAACCACTTGGATGCGACAGGATTCGTTTTCTTGGAAGGCTTATCGTCTTTTATCTCGTTTCATTATCAATTCGTTACATTCAGAAAATAACTCATATCTAGATATGTTTCAGTCTCTAGTTAATTATAGTTCCGTAGAATGTGCGTCACTTCATTGTCTTGCAAAAGACTTTTCGTCCAATTAAAATTAAATTTATTATAAAGTATGCAAAATGTGTATATATATAGTAACATGCATGCGTGTCACAGTCAGACAAACAAAACACTGACCTAACATTATATACCAGCTAAGCCAATAAGCTACGTGACTTTCAGTGATGTGGCATATGCATAGTCGTATGTTGTTGTTGTGGTGGAGAATCTTATCCTTATTGGTCATGTGGACCAACTAGGACCAACCGCATTGCCTATTATCTTCTTCTAAACATATCATCACAAAAGAAAAGATTCGTTTCTCTAACATACTATTTCAAACCGTAATAATCTAATAGAAAACTCCTGAATAATGTGTATAATAATGCAAGAGATATAGTATGTTTAGATAGCTAATGGGTTTAATTATTTAATAAGTTTATGATGTGTATAGGTCACCAAACAAGATTTAGAGGACACATACAATGTGCCATTCAAATCCTGTGTTTACGAGGGAAAAGTCGCAAGTGTTATGTGTTCTTACAATCAAGTCAATGGAAAGCCAACATGTGCTGATGAAAATCTATTAAAGAACACTATTCGTGGTCAATGGCGTCTCAATGGGTAAGATTAAAAGTCATCATAATCAACAGTTCATATTCATTTTACCCCTTCTCATACATATGCATGCAGATACATTGTATCAGACTGTGACTCTGTAGATGTTTTCTTCAACCAACAACACTATACCACAACTCCTGAGGAAGCTGCAGCAGCCTCCATCAAAGCTGGTGAGTTGTTTTCCACCATTAATCATATTGAAATCTACAAAGACTGTTGATCACGTTGATGACAAAAACATCATGTCGTTTTGCAGGTTTAGATTTGGATTGTGGGCCATTTTTGGCGATCTTCACGGAAGGAGCGGTGAAGAAAGGATTGTTGACAGAGAATGACGTTAATCTAGCACTTGCCAATACCATAACGGTTCAGATGAGACTTGGTATGTTTGATGGAAATCTTGGACCATACGCTAATCTTGGGCCTAAAGATGTTTGTACACCGGCCCATCAACATTTAGCCCTTGAAGCGGCCCATCAAGGAATCGTTCTTCTCAAAAACTCTGGTCGGTCTCTTCCACTCTCTCCTAGACGCCACCGCACCGTTGCCGTAATTGGACCTAACTCCGACGTCACTGAGACCATGATTGGGAACTATGCAGGTATATAAAATAATCCATCAAAATTGTACATTACTATTAGTTACATAATATTAAGTGTATAAAAGAAAAATGATCCACTAAAGATTAGGCCCCTATATTATTATCAGCTACATACAGAATATTAACTATTTTAAAGAATATCAACTTTGTTTAGAATAATATCAGCTACATACAGAATATTAACTTTGTTTATTATTTTTTGGTTTGTCAGGAAAAGCATGTGCCTATACGACACCGTTACAAGGAATCTCAAGATACGCAAAGACACTTCACCAAGAAGGTTGTGCCGGTGTAGCTTGCGGCGGGAGTCAAGGATTTGGTGCAGCCGAAGCGGCGGCGCGTCAAGCAGACGCAACGGTTCTTGTAATGGGACTGGACCAGTCGATAGAAGCAGAGACACGAGATCGAACCGGGCTGCTATTACCGGGTTACCAACAAAACCTTGTGACACGTGTGGCTCAAGCTTCTAGAGGTCCAGTCATTCTAGTACTTATGAGTGGTGGACCCATCGATGTATCCTTCGCTAAGAATGATCCACGTGTCGCTGCCATCATTTGGGCCGGGTATCCGGGTCAAGCGGGTGGAGCTGCTATTGCTGATATAATTTTTGGTGCTGCTAATCCGGGTATGTTTCTTGATCTAGTTACATATATTTAATTGATATATTTTCTTGATTGGTAGGTAACATCATTATCACATTTTTTTTCTTGTTAACTAATTTTGAATATGCTATGTATCTTATGATAGGAGGTAAACTACCAATGACATGGTATCCACAAGATTATGTGGCAAAACTACCAATGACGATAATGGCCATGAGAGCATCTGGAAACTACCCAGGAAGGACTTACAGATTCTACAAAGGCCCAGTGGTGTTTCCGTTTGGGTTTGGTTTAAGCTACACTACCTTCACTCACAGTTTAGCTCAAAGCCCATTAGTCCAATTATCGGTTTCATCCTACAAGCTCAACACTGCCATTTTCAACTCCTCATCTAACTCCATCAAGGTATCTCATGCCAACTGTGGAACGTTTCCGAAAATGCCTCTCCACGTCGAAGTGTCAAACACCGGTGAGTTCGATGGAACACACACGGTGTTCGTCTTTGCCGAGCCGCCGGAGAATGGGATAAAAGGACTGGGTGTGAATAAGCAGTTGGTAGCGTTTGAGAAGGTTCATGTCACGGCAGGTGCAAAACGGACCGTTAAAGTCGATATTGAGCCTTGCAAGCATCTTGGTGTAGTGGATGAGCATGGCATGAGGAGAATCCCAATGGGTGAGCATAAGTTACACATTGGTGATCTTAAACATACTATTTTGGTCCAACCACAACTTTGATGGACGCATATAAAAGAAAGAAAAAACAAATAAGGACAATCTCTTATTCCCTTATTCACATTATAATATAGAGAGATAGGTTATTTACTCAAGAAAGGTTTTAATCAGTAAAGAAGCACCAAAGGGTGGCTTCTTGGATGTGTATGTTTTCTTTTGATTTTATCTTCGTGTCGATTGCAAAGATATAGTACCTTCTGTCTCCCACTTCCTAAATGTAAAAGGAGCCCCTTGTAAGATGTTGAAACTAAAGATTTATATTTCTTTCAATCTCTCTGATTATAGCATGCGTGGAGTTGTGATGTCTTTCTATTGTATGGTTCATTTGGAAACAAACAGCTTGTGAACATTTTGATGTGGTGGATGGGATTTTATACATAAATCACGTTGATTCATATCTGAGGTTACTATTAAGTTTGGTTTAAACCTGTATCTGACTTGGTCTTTTTGTAAATGCTTTCGAGATCCTTTCTTGCTTATAAAAAAAACATCGTGTTGAGTCTTGTGATCACTTTTAGGTTTGATTTTTATTTTTCCTCTTCAGTATGGTTTAATTTCATGGCAGTCAATCAAAATATGCCATGGTTTTATTTTTATTTTTTGTTTTTTCCTAATTTTAAAAAGAAAAAAAATACTAACCAATTGCGGGTCGCCATGTGTCCTGGAAACCCGCAAAAATAATGTAAATATTCGCTAAGAAATAGTTTTTATTTTGAAATTTTAAGGATCAAATTTTTTATAGGATTTACTGATTTTTTTAATTATTTTTTTTCTAAGGACTCTTTCTTAACAATTCCCGTTTGGAGATGTAATAACGACTTGTTTTCTAATTCGAAACTAGATTTTGACCCGTGCGTCCGCACGGGTGTAGTTTTTCAAAAATATATTGTTATTTTTCTTATATCGTTATTATATATCATATATATGTCATCATATAGTCATATTTTATACGTATTATCATATAGTAATCATATAATTAATAGTATTTTATATGTACCATCATATAAATTAGTGTTTTATTTACAAATTGATCCGCTCTGCTGCGTGTTGAATCATTTTTTTATCCAAAACTTTGATCCATTTGACCTACAAGTAGAAAAAAATATACTTGCATCCACCTCATTTAAATTTATGGATCACCCAAAAAATCTACGGTTAACATTAAAAATAATTACTATTTTTAAACTAAAATAATCTATTTTAATTATCTTTTTATATTCGTAATTTTAATTATTTTGAAAATAAAATCATTTAAAAAGTCTTTTTAAAAAAAATATTTTGCGGGTGGGCGGATACCCGCAGTTTAAATTTGACCGATCCACATCCGCTCCGCATAAAATATATTAAATCCGCACCCGCCTCATATATTTTTCAAATCTGTTGATCTTTACATGTCCTGCACTGGGTCAACAGGGCGGAACCCATGTATAAAGAATCAAATTCACAAGTTTAATATAAATAATCACATATAATATATTTTAAAATTTTAATGTGAAATATAAAAACCAGAATATAAATTGGTATTTGAAATTGGCCTTTGTATTATATTTTCTTATATATATTGAAAAAAAAAATATAATCGCCATGGGAAAATATTTTAGTAAAAATCAAATTTTGAATATATGTATATTATAGAATCAAATTTTGATATAAATTAATTTTAAATTATTCTTTGATTTGAAATATGTATATAAAGTTTAAATTTTGTATTATGATTATTTTAAACAAAAGATGTTTTTACGTAATTAGATTTGTTTATTTGCATATATTGTAAAGTTGGCCCAAATAGATAGTTTATTATAGGACTTTCATTTTTTTTAATAACTAAACCTATTTTTTTAATATACTGCCATTCATGTTGTCAAACAACATTATATTTTTTTGGATTAAATGCTATTCTTGTTTCCAAACAACTCTCAAATGTAGTTCAGTTTTAATAATATAGATATTATACATAAAAATATAACAAATTGATAAAAATAATAAATATTTGACTTTGCTAATGAAAATCTAAACCATAAAACAATTAAACCATACCTTTATAAAATTAATATACTAAATGTTGGTATGCATAGTCGTAAAGAATATTATTTTTTCTTTATATCATGCTTATATAATAGAAAACGTAAATAAAATGGTGTAGATACATTTAGATATGAAGAATATAATTGAATGGTTTGCAATGGGTTAGCAAATATTGAAACATTTTGTTATTGATTTTCTATAAATTTAATATTGGATGGGCCATTAACAATTGGTAAGCCCAAAACAATATTGGATGGGTAACAAAATTTTCAAAAAAAAATAAATAAAAGGACAGTTTTGAATAATAGTGGCATATGTAGGTAATATTTGTGCAACTTTTAGGGCTAATTCCTATTTGTACTTTAGCCTTAATAGTTTAGAGCATCCACACCAATGAACCCCCCTTGGGGTTTATCTTTTCCTTTTTTTATTATTAAATTTTTTGTTTTTCTTTTTTGTTTTCTTTTTAAAAAAAAAAAAAAAAAGATAGACCAATCGCGGGCCGCCACGTGTCGTGTGGCCCGCGCTACAGTGATGAAACTCATGAGAGAGGGGATCACTAGAGAGAGATTTAGGACAGAGGGGATTATAAGGTTTTATTATTTTAATAGTTTTTTTGTGTTGGAAAATGTGTGAACCCCCATCTAAACCTTTGATAGGGGTGCTCTTAGATGTTACCTTTATGAGAGGATCACCAAATAAAAGAGAGAAATACACAATTAAAAGCTCGTTTAAATACTAACCGTTAGATATCCCTTTCCCCCCCAAAGAGAGATCAATATTAACCGTCGGATCTTGTCTCCCTTTATTTCTTGTTTTTATTTTCCCACAAAACAGAGAAGAAAGAAACAGAGACAACAAGACCAAGAAGATCGTGAGAGACGTTACGTCAACAATGGCCGATCTCAAGCACCTCTTCCTCATCACGAAACACCCATCAACAACCCAAATCCTCCTAACCTCTCTCTTCTTCATCTCCCTCTTCCTCCTCTCCTCTTCCCCTCTCTCAGACTTCTCCCACTCCCTCATCGTCTCCAGCTTCACCTCTCGTCTCCTCACCGCCGCGAACTTCTTCTCCACGACCGCCTCAGACTCAAACACTCTCTACTCCGTCTCCCCCACAAGCATCCGAGTCAAGAACGAGTCGAAAAAGATCGACTCGGCGAGCAAAGAACTCACTTCTTGCGACATCTTCGACGGCGCTTGGGTCTCCGACGACTCCGAACCCGTCTACCTTCCCGGTTACTGTCCTTACGTCGAAGACAAGTTCAACTGCTTCAAAAACGGGAGACCCGACTCGGGTTTTCTTCGTCATCGATGGCAACCTCATGGATGCTCTGTTCCAAGGTTAGTAACTCTGTTTTTGCAAGTAAAATTACAATTCTACCCTAGTGACTCTTTTTTTTTAATGGTTGTGTAGATTTGATGGAGAGAAGATGCTGAAGATTCTGAGAGGGAAGAGGCTTGTGTTCGTTGGGGACTCTTTGAACAGAAACATGTGGGAGTCTCTTGTTTGTTCACTAAGGTCAACTTTGGAAGATAAAAACAGAGTTTCTAGGGTTTTTGGAAAACAGAATAGTCTCCACAACGAAGGGTTTTACGGTTTTAGATTCAAAGTAAGTAAAAATCTCAGATCTTTTTTTATTGGTTTTTTGGATTATATTTTGATGTGTGTGTTTAACGTTTTTTTGGTGTAAGGACTTTGAATGCTCTATAGACTTCATCAAGTCACCGTTTCTAGTTCAAGAATCAGAGGTTTTAGATGTGTACGGGAAGAGGAAAGAGACGTTGAGGCTTGACGTGATCCAAGAATCGATCATGAAGATATACAGAAACGCAGATATTGTTGTGTTCAACACTGGTCATTGGTGGACTCACCAGAAAACCAATGAAGGGTATGAAACAGAAGATAGTTTTTATCTTTTATTCATGTGTGTGTTTTAATGAGTTTTGAAAATTTTTCAGGAAAGATTATTTCCAGGAGGGGAATAGAGTTTATGAAAAGTTAGAAGTGAAAGAAGCTTATACAAAAGCTCTACATACATGGGCTGATTGGGTTGATTCGAGTATCAACAGTAGTAGAACTAGAGTGTTCTTTGTTGGCTACTCATCTTCCCATTTTAGGTAAGATTAGGTTTCTTGTACTCCAAGCTATCTCTGTTTTACTCTTATTTAGACCTTAGTGAGTGGAATAGTCTTATTAGGTCACTCATCTTCCAATTGCAAGTCAGAGCAGGCTTCTTAGATCCCAAGAAATCTCTATTTTACTTTTTTTGATAAGTTTCTTGCGTCTTAAGCAATCTCTGTTCTTAGGTTTTAATGCATAAAAGTTTAGGAATAGTTTTATTCCCAAGCAATCATTATCACGTACGGTTTTGATTTTATATATTCAATATATGGAAGCTTTCTATTTTTGGGTTTGTCTGCAGGTAAGATTAGGTTCCTTTGAGTCCAAGCAAACTCTATTGGGTTTAGGGTTTAGTGTAGGGAAGATTTTCTTTTAGCTCAAGCAATGTCTTTTGTTTTTAAAACTGCAGGAAAGGGGCGTGGAATGCAGGAGGGCAATGTGATGGAGAAACAAGACCAATAGAGAATGAGACGTACACAGGAGGGTATCCATGGATGATGAAAGTGGTGGAATCAGTGATCTCGGATATGAAAACGCCTGTGTTTTACATGAACATCACGAAGATGACTTGGTATAGAACCGATGGTCACCCTTCGATTTACAGACAGCCTGTGGAGGTAAGAGGAAGTTCTCCTGCAAGCGGAATGTTTCAAGATTGTAGCCATTGGTGTCTACCTGGAGTTCCTGACTCATGGAACCAGCTTCTGTATGCTACTTTGCTTGTTTCACGTGGTTCCTTGCCTTACAAGTCTTTTGGAAGTGTCTTGTAAGAGGGTGGTTTTTTTTACTTTCTTTCTTTTTGATTAGCCACTTGTTTATTGATCTTTGCAACTTTTGTTTTTGTAACACA